ATTCTCCTACAATAGCCCGGTTCTACGACCCCCTTGGACTAGCTGGACCTGTCATTACAAATTCAAAAATCTTTCTCTAGCAATTGTGCAAGGAGAAGTTGTCCTGGGATGAAAGCTTGCCATCAGGACTGAACACCTCCTGGCAGGAATTATGTAACAGTTTTGGCCACATTCGACGCTATGAATTTCCTCGGTTCGTGCTTATTACGAATTTTGAGCTAGAAATTCACGAATTTTGGGACGCCAGCATTGAGGCTTATGGTGCCTGCATTTATGTTGTGTCTAAGGGTCAGCGGTTCAGCAGCCACTTACTCTGTGCAAAATCTCGTGCTGCTCCATTGAAAACACTGACTGTACCAAAGATGGAGCTTTGTGGAGCGGAGTTGCTAGCTAGACTCATATCTGAGATAGCCGGAATGAAGGTATTCAAAGGGAAGTTTTACTGTTGGTGTGATTCGTCTGTTGCGCTCTCTTGGATTCGGGACGAACCGTCCAGATTCAAAGTATTTGTCGCAAATAGAGTGGCAACGATACAGGAACTTACTGCTCAAATGGAATGGCACTATGTTCCCACAGCATTGAACCCAGCTGACATTCTCTCGCGAGGGGCTCTTCTTGTAGAGTTGAGCGAGTCACCTCTTTGGGCTCATGGACCTTTTCTTTGCGGATCCTCTGATGACTGGCCACCCACTGTACTACCTGTTAAGACAACCCTGGAGCTTCGTCCGAAGGTTCTCCTGGTAAAATCGCCCTACGTAGACATCGTATCTGAGTCCAAGTATGCGAACTCTTTTGCGTCCATGCAACGCGTTTTTGAATATATTCACAAGTTTGTCAACCGGATTCGGCATCCCGGACTCACTGTTTCTGTTTTCTGTGGCCCTTTTTTCTACAAGCCAGAGGCACGCAAACAAGGCTCCAATCAAATGCTACGTCTGCGTCTTCATTTGCTTTGCGACTAAGGCTGTTCATTTGGAGGATGAAGGATTTGTCTACAGTCTCCTTTCTGCACAGCCTAAAGCGGTTCATATGCACAAGACGAAGGCCGCGACAAATTTGGTCAGATAACGCAACTAATTTTGTCGGCGCCAGGAATGAGCTTTTGGATCTAAAGCGCCTATTTCTCAGCGACGGCCATCAGAAGGCGGTCCTGGAATTTTGTTTGGTTGAGGCTATTGACTGGCACTTCATACCGCCACGCTCCCCGCACTTTGGACGCCTGTGGGAACCTGCAGTGAAGACGGCCAAGTATCACTTCTATCGTGCTATAGGCACCTCGGTGCATGGATTTGAAGAACTGCGTACGCTGTTATCCCACATCACGGCAGTTATTAATTCAAGACCCTTAGTATCCATTTCAGAGAATCCTGCCGATCTGGACGTTTTAACTCTAGCTCATTTCTTATATGGCGGACCTCCTGCTTCGTTCGCTGAGCCTGACGTAACTCAGCTAAAATTCGATAGCCTGAACGGATGGCAGCGCGTTTCATATTTGCAGCAGATCTTCTGGTCCCGATAGAAGGAAGAATACATCACTTCACTGCAACAGCGCTCAAAGTGGCGCACGCCGAAGCCTAGTTTGGCAGTCGCAGATGTGGTCCTTGTTAAGGATGAGAATCTCCCTCCCATGAAGTGGCCACTAGCTAGGGTGGTCGCCCGAGTCGCTGTTCTGAAGAGTGCATCCGGAATGACCAAGCGAGCCGTTAACAAGCTGTGTCTGCTTCCCCTTAAAGATGCTGTTGAAAGTCGGGCTTCCAACGGGGGGAGTATGTCGGGTCAAGCAGCATAACGCATATGCCTACGCCCGGCAGCGTCTGTTCTGGCGGCTGTCTCCCGCTGCCTTCGTGTTGCTGCTGCACCTGCTGCGTTTAAGCAGCTCTCTTGCTCTACTCGGCTCAGAAGCCGAGCCTAACTATGCCATAATGCTCTCACGCTCTCGTTATGCATAGGGCACGGGCAGTCGGCCCATTTTTCCCTGCGATCAGTCAATTATTGATATTCAGAACGTTCGGTCTATATACCTTAAGCAAACATATTAAATACGCGTACTGCCGCTACTAAATACTAATAAAATAAAATTGTAATAAATGTATCGGCTCTGTTCTTAAATTCAATTAAAATAGCTATTAAAAACGCTTAATAGCTCAAACATTGGTGACCCCGACGTGATTTGTGCAATTTGGTACATATCACAAACTACATTTCAACATAATAATTAACACTTAATTGCCGTTCGTTCGTCTGCTTTGCTCGCCGCTCTGATCCAGTGCCATCGACCACATAACCAGTGCCATCGACCACATAGCTGCCGTAGAAGCATATACACCGGCCGCCTGTGCATACACAAATTGCGCTTGAAGTTCCCCTTTGTTACGCGCATTGCGCTTTGTGTTCCTCTTCCCGCTACGAACGTTTTTAGAACCGCTGCTGCTATAGATGCTGCCAACGACGCTCCAGTGCCCAGGGAGCAAAACAGGGTGTCTTTTCTGAGGATTAAGTCAACGGAACTATGTGAGATTGGCTACCGCTTGGGAAGATGAGGCTGCTGTCTGTGACTATTACATGCTACTGGTAAAGCTGGAGCAGATCGAGAAGCTGAATGGGCAATTTGAAACAGCTTGAAGAATTGGACTGCAACGAAATTCATAGTGGACTGTGCGACAGCTTTGAAACAATTGCCAGTGCTCTCAAGGCTTCGATCATGCGTGAAACTGCTAGGATTAGCGGATACATGCCGCTGCATTCTACGTTTGCTGGAGCAAATGCAACTGCAGGTTTTGCCGGTGCTCAGCCTCCACCTCGTCGTAGGCCAGGATCATCCCTTCCTCCCATACAATTGCCAAGGTTTAGCGGAGGATATGCGGATTGGACGGACTTTTACTCGATGTTCACGACCATCATCGACAATCATCCAGACCTATCCAACATTGAGAAGTTTCAGCATCTGCGATCTTGTGATGGGTCATATCTGGAGGTTGTTCCCGGCTAAAGAAGGGGTCCTCTTTAATGGTTTCGCGCACCCCGGCCGTAGCTGCGGAGGATAACCTAGACGAGAGACTTGAGTTCCTGCTGCGACGGTTTTGGGAGGTAGAGAATTGCATCGAACCCATAGTAAATTCTACCAAAGAAGAGCTAGATTGTGAAGCTCACTTTGTGCAGCATTTCCGCCGATTGCAAACCGGCGATTATTGTGTTAGGCTGCCGGCAAAATACAATCTGGATCTCTTGGGAGAATCGTACCATCACGCTCTTCGAAGGTTCTTATCCCTTGAACGGAAGTTAGATCGCCGTCCTGATGTAAAATCTCTGTATGCTGCTTTCATAAAAGAGTATGTCCTTGGTTCCTGCCGAGTCAATCAGCTCCTGCCGATATTTTTTGGCTCACCATTGCGTCACAAAGGAAGATAGTTCTACAACCAATCTTCGGGTCGTTTTCGATGGATCTGCATCAACATTATCTGGTTATTCCCTGAACGACGTTTTAATGGCCGGTCCTGTAATCCAACCGAAGCTTTTCCATATTCTTACTCGATTTCGGTCACATGCAGTTGCGATTACGGGAGATATTTGCAAGATGTACCGATGTGTCAGGGTCTCATCTGAGGACAGTGTATTCCATGGAGGAATTCCGTGCAAGAGGAGTTGCGTGTGTTCAAGCTGGACACCGTTACTTATGGGACGAAGCCTGCCTCTTATTTATCTGTGCGGGCGATGCATCAGCTGGCAATGGATGAACAGACAGCGTTTCCTATTGGGACTGAGGTTCTTCGCCGTGACTTCTACGTTGATGACCTAATATCTGGATCCAGCTCTCCGGAGGAGGCTATCCGCATTCGTAAGCAAACTGCAGGAATTTTGAGTAGAGGCCAGTTCCGACTGAGGAAATGGTGTTCGAACGTCCCTCCTGTCCTCGATGGGGTTCCGGAGAAGGACAAGGAAACTTATTTGAAATTCGACGATGGCAGTGATTTTACCAAAACACTGGGACTTGCCTGGGATCCTGTGTCTGATCAACTTTTATTCTCCTACAATAGCCCGGTTCTACGACCCCCTTGGACTAGCTGGACCTGTCATTACAAATTCAAAAATCTTTCTCTAGCAATTGTGCAAGGAGAAGTTGTCCTGGGATGAAAGCTTGCCATCAGGACTGAACACCTCCTGGCAGGAATTATGTAACAGTTTTGGCCACATTCGACGCTATGAATTTCCTCGGTTCGTGCTTATTACGAATTTTGAGCTAGAAATTCACGAATTTTGGGACGCCAGCATTGAGGCTTATGGTGCCTGCATTTATGTTGTGTCTAAGGGTCAGCGGTTCAGCAGCCATTTACTCTGTGCAAAATCTCGTGTTGCTCCATTGAAAACACTGACTGTACCAAAGCTGGAGCTTTGTGGAGCGGAGTTGCTAGCTAGACTCAAATCTGAGATAGCCGGAATGAAGGTATTCAAAGGGAAGTTTTACTGTTGGTGTGATTCGTCTGTTGCGCTCTCTTGGATTCGGGACGAACCGTCCAGATTCAAAGTATTTGTCGCAAATAGAGTGGCAACGATACAGGAACTTACTGCTCAAATGGAATGGCACTATGTTCCCACAGCATTGAACCCGGCTGACATTCTCTCGCGAGGGGCTCTTCTAGTAGAGTTGAGCGAGTCACCTCTTTGGGCTCATGGACCTCCCTTTCTTTGCGGATCCTCTGATGACTGGCCACCCACTGTACTACCTGTTAAGCCAACCCTGGAGCTTCGTCCGAAGGTTCTCCTGGTAAAATCGCCCTACGTAGACATCGTATCTGAGTCCAAGTATGCGAACTCTTTTGCGTCCATGCAACGCGTTTTTGAATATATTCACAAGTTTGTCAACCGGATTCGGCATCCCGGACTCACTGTTTCTGTTTTCTGTGGCCCTTTTTTCTACAAGCCAGAGGCACGCAACAAGGCTCCAATCAAATGCTACGTCTGCGTCTTCATTTGCTTTGCGACTAAGGCTGTTCATTTGGAGGATGAAGGATTTGTCTACAGTCTCCTTTCTGCACGGCCTAAAGCGGTTCATATGCACAAGACGAAGGCCGCAACAAATTTGGTCAGATAACGCAACTAATTTTGTCGGCGCCAGGAATGAGCTTTTGGATCTAAAGCGCCTATTTCTCAGCGACGGCCATCAGAAGGCGGTCCTGGAATTTTGTTTGGTTGAGGCTATTGACTGGCACTTCATACCGCCACGCTCCCCGCACTTTGGACGCCTGTGGGAACCTGCAGTGAAGACGGCCAAGTATCACTTCTATCGTGCTATAGGCACCTCGGTGCTTGGATTTGAAGAACTGCGTACGCTGTTATGCCACATCACGGCAGTTATTAATTCAAGACCCTTAGTATCCATTTCAGAGAATCCTGCCGATCTGGACGTTTTAACTCTAGCTCATTTCTTGTATGGCGGACCTCCTGCTTCGTTCGCTGAGCCTGACGTAACTCAGCTAAAATTCGATAGCCTGAACGGATGGCAGCGCGTTTCATATTTGCAGCAGATCTTCTGGTCCCGATAGAAGGAAGAATACATCACTTCACTGCAACAGCGCTCAAAGTGGCGCACGCCGAAGCCTAGTTTGGCAGTCGCAGATGTGGTCCTTGTTAAGGATGAGAATCTCCCTCCCATGAAGTGGCCACTAGCTAGGGTGGTCGCCCGAGTCGCTGTTCTGAAGAGTGCATCCGGAATGACCAAGCGAGCCGTTAACAAGCTGTGTCTGCTTCCCCTTAAAGATGCTGTTGAAAGTCGGGCTTCCAACGGGGGGAGTATGTCGGGTCAAGCAGCATAACGCATATGCCTACGCCCGACAGCGTCTGTTCTGGCGGCTGTCTCCCGCTGCCTTCGTGTTGCTGCTGCACCTGCTGCGTTTAAGCAGCTCTCTTGCTCTACTCGGCTCAGAAGCCGAGCCTAACTATGCCATAATGCTCTCACGCTCTCGTTATGCATAGGGCACGGGCAGTCGGCCCATTTTGCCCTGCGATCAGTCAATTATTGATATTCAGAACGTTCGGTCTATATACCTTAAGCAAACATATTAAATACGCGTACTGCCGCTACTAAATACTAACAAAATAAAATTGTAATAAATGTATCGGCTGTGTTCTTAAATTCAATTAAAATAGCTATTAACGAGAAGGAACGTGTGAGTCGCTTCTGGGGACGCGACTCTACTTATACCCGTACTCAGTCAGTATATACATTTTTGAGCTTATGATTTTTAAGAATTTTAGAAAAAAAAAAAATTTTACATTTTACATTTATTTGCTACATATGCTATCTACATCTACATATACAGTGTATATTCTACATCTAACATGTAGACTGTACAAGTTCCAATTAGATTCTACATCTCCTCCGCTAGGGGTTGCTCGCGCACTGAACGCGGCAGAGTGTGCGAGCGAGAAGGAAAATGAGTTGCGTTGTCTTGATCGGGAGGGGGAGGGGAAGCAACTGAAAATGAATTTCTTCATTCTGGCTATAATTATGATCCGATCTAGTTCAGATTCGGCAATCTGGTAGATATGGGCATTCTCTACGATACTGCGTTTTTTAGTTTTTTTAGTTTTATCGTATCTTTAAAAATGTGCCTGCCACAGATTTTCGTCCTTTGTGTGGGCGGAAGGGGGCGGGGCGAAATTTTGAAATACACTTGTAGCAGTGTGATATCACATGAGTCTGGAAACCAAATTTGGTTTCTCTAGCTCTCATAGTCTCTAAGATCCAGGCGCTCATCAAGACGGACAGACGGACAGACGGACGGACAGACGGACATGGCTATATAGACTCGGCTATTGATGCTGATCAAGAATATATACACTTTATGGGGTCGGAAACGTTTCCTTCTCTGCGTTACACACATCCACTTTTACCACAAATCTAATATACCCCTTAACTCTTTTTTGAGTACGGGTATAAAAACGCTTAATAGCTCAAACAGTATTTTTTGTTCATTTTTTCCATATTTTGGGTTTGGTTAACGAATTTTATCTCCAAAGTCTCTTCATAGATTTTAATGAGCGATACGACGCCAAATTAAGTTCTTTACAACAAGACGTAGGATACTAGAGTTATGTGAAAAAAACAAGCGCTACCTCTGAAAAAAGCTTAAAAAAAAAAATACCAGACTTAAAAAATTCTTCAAAAAAAAGTTCTACCATAGAAAAAAAACCATAATTCTTTAAAAAAAATTTTAAAGCCCCATATCTATCAGAAAAAGTCGGTTTGGATCCTTGAGGAAAAAAAAAGTTCGATTTTGTCGAGTAGTGTTATTAATCACATGAGCGGCCGCAGCCTTGCTGAGGTGACAAAACTAAAAACACGAGTACCCCCAACCTGTATACATTTATCGATTTTGGAACTATCGATCTCGAAATAAAATGTAAACAACACCAACAATGCGTATCTGCGTATTTATTCGGGATAAACGTTATATATTGTACGCCGGTGCCATGTTCGGACATAAAATATTTAATGGTGTATTTTATATATGCGAGCAGATGGTAGTTAGTGGGCAATGATCGTATAATTGTGTTAGCCGGTGCGGTTAGTATGTGTGGATAGTTCGGTACGTATGTATGTATGTGAGTGTGCTTATAAGCCGGTGAAAATATATGGACATATGGATGTGAGCTATGTATTTTATGTTGAAATAATTGTAATATGCGCAATAAATAAATATGTATATTTTTCTTGTATCGGCGTTTTATGTTGTGTGGGACGAATTGTGTGTACATACGTATGTACGTACTTACACCTGTGGAATGGCGACGGATCTCAGCAGCAGAACATCTGTACATACATATATGTATGAGCTGCCTGTTGTAGGGGGAGAAAAAACCTCGCTTGAAATGATTGCGGAAGACCGATAGGCATGCAGGAGGGCCAACGGAGTAGGCAGCATGAGTGTCTTAGGCAATTAAGAGAGAGAACAGGCGTTGGAGTGCATATATGGGGTTCCGGAGTTGGCGGAAAATGGGACTTAGGTGGTATGTACATACATATACTTGGATTCTGGAGATGCGGACGACGGACGGAGTGTCTTAGAATGAACGAAGCTTGTACTTAGCTGGAGTCCGGTTCCTCAAAATTCCCGCGCTGCAAGCTGGATCGTAGGGGGGAATCTCTCCAATGCTTAATTATCCGGCTCGAAGGACCAAAATGAAGGGGCACGCAGGCTTCTGAGGAGTCCAGAGGGCGACGAGGGCTGTGTGGGCGATTTCGTGGGAAATCGGAATAAAAAAATCCAAGACCGTGGTTCGTTTCAAGGTACATATATGTATATTCAGAATGACTTTTCACATTTTTTCCATCCGGTAAATATTTTACAACTCCCCCGCAAGGTTGATAAAGCCACGTGAGGCCGTGTCTTGATAATTGGTTAGGGACGCTGGGAGTCGAACGCGAAAACATGTAAAGGAATGCCTGAGATAGTTTTAGACCAGAAAATACATTTGTCATAATCCTTTGAAATAAATTTGGTGCTATTTTTAATCCGTATGGTAATCGCGTGAAGCGATACGAACCATTGTTCGTTGAAAAGGACGTTATATTTCTTGAGTTATCTTCTAGTTCTATCTGGTGAAATCCAGACATTAGATCTAGACACGAGAAGCTCGTCCCAGTTGATCGAGTACATCGTCTATTCTCGGTAGAGGAAATTTATCTGATAGTAATTTCTTATTTATTTGGCGGTAGTCAATTACTAAACGCCATCTTTTTTTATCCGAGCCTGAGAGTGGTGGAGAGATTTTTTTGGTACAAGTAGCAGGGGGCTATTATATTCTGACACAGAGGGTTCCACTATTTTATCGTCTATTAATTTCTTGACTTGTGATTGAATTTCATCAATATGGTTATGAGGGCTTCTATAGTTCTTGATAGAAACTGGCTCATCATCTTTTAATCTCAATTTTTGCTTGTAGAAATTGTTAGTTGTGATTGATTCGGTGTCTATTCCGAATACGTCACTATATTTTGTGCATAATTTTTTCTAATGTTTCTTTAAACATCGGTGGAAAATTTTTTTTCAATTCTTTGAGGACTGTTTCAGTTCTTTTTGTTTCATTAACTTTTAATATTTCATAATCGGACAAGGTTTCAAATTTAATTTTGCTTAAATCCACCATTTGATTATTTGTTGTGATATTTAACAATCATACATTAGCCATGGTAGTTGTTGCTATCATGTTTGCTATAAAGATTCCAGGTTGTATTTCCTAAGTTTTATTTTTCGGATTACTTCTGAACGTGCTGCTAGAAGTGTTGAGATGTTTCCAGCTGTGTACGTAATTGGTATGTAAATAGGAAAATTTAAATTAGTTGGTCTAATTACACTACTCGACAAATCGAACTTTTTTTTCCTCAAGGATCCAAACCGACTTTTTCTGATAGATATGGGGTTTTCAAATTTTTTAAAGAATAATTTTTTTTTTCTATTTTAGAACTTTTTTTTGAAGAATGTTTGAAGTCTGGTATTTTTTTTTAAGCTTTTTTCAGAGGTAGCGCTTGTTTTTTTTCACATAACTCTAGTATCTTAAGTCTGGTTGTAAAGAACTTTTCTATTTTGAAAAGATAATTACAACAGCTATTATTATTGTATGTGCCTCTGAACGAGTTACCATTCCGGTTACCTCTGTTTTGGCGGCAGTACAACACTGCATCACTTTTTTCTGTAGCATCAGTGCAACTACCAACGAATTTTGTAATGACATCATTCATCGTGTTGAATGTGCCAGCCTGCATTATTAATTTTACTTTTTCTATTGAGGACTTTGTAGTCATGGCCTTAACAGCATGTTGTGTGTTATATTTGGTGGCCAGTTCTAGAGGCCAGTTCTGTGATGTATGCTCCCTCTAAGGCTTTAGTCATCTGCTCAACCTGTTTTGTGTACTGGTTGGCTGTTTTGTTTCATTGTTGGGGGAGGTTCATTAGTTTTGCTGAAAAAACCTCCACTGACTCGCCTTTGACATTAACCCTGAGTCTGGAGATTACCTGTGCTAAGGTATTTTCTTCTCCAGTTAGGTTTCTAGCCGATCCCTTAAGTTTTCTTTTTATAATTGAGATCGATAGTTGCTCGTGTGCGCCTTTAATGGCGTCGACAATGTTAAGGGCATCTAGAAAACTTTGTAGGTTTTCCGCTTTCCCATCGAAGTCTGTGATAAGCTTCGATGCTATATTTATAAAGTCTATTTTTGATTGTGCCATTCTGATGGTTTGATTATGTTGGTTGCTCGATGCTGCACTAGTCGACGAGGTGTCGTCGTTTACCGGAAGGTTCGATCTATTTGATCGAGAATCGTCTTCCGATATGATGCTAAAATTTTTTATATTCGGGGGCCTGGGGCTTATTGGCCTTGATCCCGATTCTACAGCTGGTATATATGTCGCTGCTGTGTTGAGAATTGTTGTTATGTGTATGTCCAAATTGAGTTTTTCTTTAACGATAATCAATCGTTCTCTTAGACGTTTGAAAATGTCTGTAGCTTGAAACCAATGTATGTCGTCAAGTCTTTGTTTGT